AAAAAAAAAAAAAAAAAAAAAAAAAAAAAAAGAACCCTAGAACACACACAAAAAATCCAGAAAAAAAAACCTGAAATAAAAGCCCGGAGAACTGTCTTCCAAGGGGGGTGGGAAGAGGAAGAAGAGGGGGGCGGGTCCGGACGCCTGCTGGTCGCCGAGCCTGGGTTCGGGACCCGGGCCTCAGTTCATCCCTCGAGGCACTGGGACCCAGGCGTCCAGTTGCAGGGGCCGGGGGAGGACTGGGAAGGCGGGATTCTATTATGGGTGTTCGATCCTTCCCCCCATCATCTCCCCTGACTACCCACCAAGATTTTGCAGAGAGAAATGGCTTTTGTACCAGGTCATTCTTTATAATTAAACTCACAGTATCCACCCCCTCGAGCCGGCCCCGCCTCCTTCCTGGGGAGGCCACGCCCCCTTTCCGGGGGGGAGGGGTTCTGGGTGAATAGCCTGAACCGGCCAGGCGGTGCGCAAGCGCAGCCAGAGTCCGCCCCGCCCCCCCACACTTGTCAGTCTTCCTCGGTCGGCTCCACCCCCAGAGCCTCGAGCATGCGCCGTCGGACCAGGGAGCGGCGGAGGTGCAGGCGGTAATCGCTCAGCAGCAGTTCGTCGTGGCGCAGGAGCGGGTGCGCCGACCCGCGGAGGCGGAGCCCCGTGCGCAGCAGGCGCGAGCGGGTCTGGAAGTCCGAGACGGTGATGAGCCACCTGAGAGGGGCCGGGCCGGGAGGAGAAGGGCAGGGGTGGAGACGGCTGGGTGATCGTCGGTCCTCCCAGCCCCGCCCTTGATTGTCGCAATGCCCCTGCCAGGTCCCTGTTCGTGTACCCATTCCGGTTCCTCAACCCGTCCCTCCGTCCCGAAACCCCTCCCCAGCCCTGCCCTTCGACCCGCACTGGGTCATTCTGGGCCCAGGCCTCTCTCTCAGCCTGGTTTCGTCCACTCTGCGCGGTCTGTCGAGGCTACTCGCTTTCAAACCGCCGCTCCCGGGCCAGACCTTCACCCCGCAGCTCTAGACCCCGCCCCCTCCTCCGTCCAAGCCCAGCCTTCCGGTGTGGCGCTCAGGCCGGAGCTTCCATCTCTGTCCCCCCCCTGGGCCCGCCCCCAGCTACACGCCAATCACTCTGGGCCCCGCCCCTTCACTGCGCTCAGTCTAAGCCCCACCCCCGCAACGCGCTCAGTCCAGGCCCCGCCCCTGCACTGAGCACAGTCTAGGCCCCGCCCCCACGCCTCGGGCTGGCCTGTCCTGGTCATCACCTGAGCGATTCAAAGTCCCTTCACTCCAGCTCCCGCCTTCTCTCTGACCTCACCTGGCCCTGCCCCTTCACCGCGCTCATCACTCTGGGCTCCCTTCCCTGTTCCCACTCAGCCTCTTCATCATCTCGCCCATAAACTCTCCTCCGGATATGCCCAGGCAAGTTGGCCCCGCCCCTCCCGGCCCCGCCTCTCTCCTCAAGTCCCCCGGGTCGGCTCCTCCTGGTCCCTTTAGGCCCCGCCCTGCCTCCTCACCACCCAACCCTGACCCCATCCCCCCCGCGGGCTCACCGGTTCCTGCGCCCCGCGGTCCCACAGATGACGTTCATGTTCTCAAAGCGGATGCTGCTCACGCTGCCGCTCTCCATGGCCCCGGGTAGTTCGGCCTCCAGCGCCTCCAGCACCTCTAGGTGGGTAAGGTCCTGCTCAGGCTGGGGGAGTCGGAGAGCGAGCCTCAGCCGGGGACACCGGGTTCATTCCGGGTTCAGAAGTCCCCACCCCGAACCCCACTTGCAGAACTTGCCGGAGTCCCAGGTGGCATTCGAGGGGCAAGGATCACACTTGAGCAGAGGGCGTCCCCCTCTCGTCAGAGCGGGGAGGACAGGCATCTCCCAGGGAGAAACGCATCTATTGTCATTCAAGGTCATTCTCCAAAATATCAGTTCTCCCTAACTGATTTGTCAAGTCATCAATGGGGCCCACTTTGCCAATCTACTGAAAACCTTTCCAGCAACCTGCACTGGACGGCAAGCTTTCAGCAGCTCTTGAAGATTTTCGCAAAGATTTAAGTCACACACTTTCCACTAGAGGCCCTGTGCACAGATTTGTGCTCAGCCTGGCCTGCGCCCTGTCGCAATCCAGGACCCCTCGGGGGATGTCAGACTGCCGGTTTTGGCCCGATCCCTGTAGTAGTGGTCCTGCTCATCCCAGCCCTGTGCTCCGCTCAGTAGCGCTGCCTAGGAGGCAGGAGAGGCTCCTGCCGCCACAGTTAGGCTTGCCAGCCATGAACCTGGCAGTGTCTGGAGCCCATGGGTCAGCTGAACGGTGCTCCCACTGTGGGAGTGCACTGACCACCAGGGGACAACTCTTGCATTGAGCATCTGCCCCCTGGTGGTTAGTGCACGTCATAGCGACCAGTTGACCAGTCATTTGGTTGCTTAGGCTTTTATATATATAGATTAGATCATCGGTCACCAATGGTGGTCCTCGGGCCACTGGTGGTCCGTGAGGTCCAAAAGGTTGGCGACCGCTGGATTAGATGTTCAGTTGTCAAAAACTAAGGGTCACAGGGAGTTTTAACTTCCTGTGAGTCTATTTAATGTTCAGAAACACACATTAATCATTATCACGTTTTCAGCACGAGAGTCCCATGTCGAAGGTAATGCCATTGTCATAGCATATAAAATTGTAGAGGAACTAAAAGTCATGAAATTGCTCTCCTCCAGGAAGGCAAGTCTTGGGGGGCAGTGGGAAGGAAGGGGGTCCCACATTCAAAGCCATAAAGAAGAGAAACAATGGGATGGATATTTGTCCCTAAAGTGGGGACAACAGTCCTTGTGTTGGGGTGAAGTCACCCAGATCGCTGAGGGAGGGCCTCTGAGCGGTGCCTGGCGCACAGTAAATGTCCATTCATGCGCAGTCTTCTCGCTTGACCTCTGCCCGAGTGAGATCCTAACAGTTATCTCCTCTGACTGAGGTCAGGGACTGCCAAAGGGTTTGTACACTGAATTACCAGCTCGCGGAATCTATTAAAAACACGAGCTTTTTCTTAGGTGTTTGCTATATCTGTAAACTTTCCAGAATTTCAGAGTAGATGGATTAGCAGACTCCCTTTGTCCTCAGTCTCCCCCCTCTCTGCCCCTCGTCCTCCCCCTCTCTCTGCCCCTCTGGGATCAGCAGTGATACATTTGCCAATTGACTATTGAACAAATTCACAATCACTTTTCAGCAACCTGTGCTGGTGCCAAGCCCACAGCTGGTAAGCCCAGAGCCTGGCTTTGTGCCTGTGCCCTTTCCACCCCCCACCCCCACCCAGGGCCCCCAGGGCGAGGGGCCACTCACTGAGATCTCCAGGCACAGGCAGAGGGGCTGGGCAGCGGGTGGCGTGAGGAACTTCCGAATGCACGGGAGCTCTCGGTCCAGCGTTTCATACTCTGCTACGACCTGGCGCAGGTACTGCTTCCTGGGGAGAGAGCCAGTGGGCAGCAAGGAGTTCCAAGGCCAGGGGTCGCTGTCGCTGCACTCCAGGGAGCTGAGGTCAGAAACCACGGGGCCAGGGGCTACTCACGAGGACTTGTTGGGCCTGCACAGGCTCCAAGCCTGGGTCTCTTCTGAGGTCTCGAGGTCCGCAAGGAGGGCTCCTGGAGACAGAGAACCCAGCTGCCCTGAGCGCTCTTCACATATGATTAAGCCTCCTGGTTGGAACTTGACTGGGCCCTTCTAGACAACCCCACAGTCAGCTCACTGGTACTTTATGGCCAGCTGCTATCTGCCTCTCATTTTCCTCTTCCTCTACAGTACTAAAGTTTTTTTGTGTTTTTTAAAAATATATTTTATTGATTTTTTTTACAGAGAGGAAGGGAGAGGGATAGAGAGTCAGAAACATCGATGAGAGAGAAACATCGATCAGCTGCCTCCTGCACACCCCTTACTGGGGATGTGGCCACAACCAAGGTACACGCCCTTGACCAGAATCGAACCTGGGACCCTTCAGTCCTCAGGCCAACGCTCTATCCACTGAGCCAAACCAGTTAGGGCTACAGTCCTAAAGTTTTACCTGCACGCGGTCGCCCAGCTAGAGACGAGAGTTACCAGGCTCCCTGGCACCTAGGTGTGGCCATGTGACCACGATCTCACCCACAGTGTTAGAGGGAGTGAGGGTGCATCTTTGGAGTCGTTTGTTTAAAAGAAGATTGTTCAGGATGTGGATGTGGCCATAAGCGAGCTTCAGCCATACTAAAGATGGGGGAGCCACAATACAGAGGGAACCTGGGGCCCTGAGTCATCTTAGGGGTGAGATGTCCCACCGATCTGAAACTCCTGCTTCCCATTACACAAGAGAGAAATAAACTGTCTTTTTTTTTCCTTCCCATCACCCATGAAATCCACAATAGCTTGCACTTTGAAATATGTTATTTTTATTGATTTTTTAGAGAGGAGAGGGATAGAGATAGAAACATTGATGAGAGAGAGACATCAATTGGCTGCCTCCTGCACGCTCCCTCCTGGAGATTGAGCCTGCAAGCTGGGCATGTGCCCTGACCGGGAATCAAACCATGACTTCCTGGTTCATAGGTCAATGCTCAACCACTGAGCCACGCCAGCTGGGCTCTAAACTGTCTTCTTCTTTTTTTAAAAAAATATATTTTATTGATTTTTTACAGAGAGGAAGGGAGAGGGATAGAGATTTAGAAACATCGATGAGAGAGAAACATTGATCAGCTGCCTCCTGCACACCCCCCACTGGGGATGTGCCTGCAACCAAGGTACATGCCCCTGACCGGAATCGAACCTGGGACCCTTCAGTCCGCAGGCCGATGCTCTATCCACTGAGCCAAACCGGTTAGGGCTAAACTGTCTTCTTAATGTCACTGTGTGGGGGGTCTCTTTGTTACAGCAGCTGAACAAAGGGGAATGCAGCTCCGGACAGCCAGGAGCTGGCCTGGCATCCCGTCAGGCCCCGCTGCTCTCTCGTTGACATAGTTTCACAGAACACCACCATCAGCCAAGGCCACTCCGTGACCCTGAGGGACCCAGATAAAATGAAGACCACTCCAGGATCACATCTCAACACAACAAAATGTGAGCGCTGCCCAAACAACAAAGAAGGCCAAACCATCCCCGCGAGGCTCAGATGCTGCTGCTTTTCCCCTCATAGTGACAGCTCCATCCATTCCTCCTGCCTCAGGAGTGGCCTCCGCTGCCTGCCAGCATCCGGCCCAGAGCAGAGCCCGGCTTCCCCGGACCCTCCCAAAGTCCCTAAGGCAGCTCAGCTCCTATAGAAAGTCCTCTCTGGCACCCCCTTACTCAGATGTTGCATGTGTTATGGTTTCCGTCATTACAAGTCAATACATTCAATGGTCTCTCTCTCTCTCTCTCCCTTTCTCTCTCTCTCTCTCTCTCTCTCTCTCTCACACACACACACACACACACACACACACACACACACACACGTCGCAGCATTTGCCAGTTTTCCTGGTGTCAATACTCCCACCATGGCCAATTTCATGCTACCCACGGTTTTAACAACCAGTTTGCAAAACCCAGCGATGGGCTCCGGTGAGCCGACACAGGCCGCCTCCAGCCCTGAGCTGTCAGCACTGTGCTCCTGGTGCTCTTTGACTTCGGGGCTCTGCTCCCCGTCCTCCCACCTCCCACGTGTTCCCACAGGGCAGCGGAGGTGATTTTCACGTCTCAGCATCCCGTGCTTATAACAGTCAGCAGCTTCCTTTTGCCTTCAAGGTCCACCCCAGACCGACTGGGTCAGAACCGGCATTTTAACAAGATCCCCTTTGAGAAGCACCTGCCCTGTGTGTGGTCACTCCTGTTGACCTCTCTGATCATCCCCCCTCACCACCCCTTCAACACAAGAACCTCCTTCTCCGTCCACTTAACAGTAACTCCATGGGTACAGTCCCTTTTAAAGAGCCAAGCACCTTCACAAGTGCTTTCTTCTGCATCCACACGACAACTTTCTGAGAGGGTGTAGTTGAGCAGATGATGAAATGGAAACACAGAGAAGTTAAGGGGCTTGCCCAAGCTCACAGAGCCCACAGCGATAGAATCAGGATAAAAGTCTAGGTGTCTGGATCCGCAGTCCGTGCTCCCAGCCCTGCAGGCTCCTCCCTCCCACCCCACTCTTGTCTAGACAACAGCCTCCTAATTCCTCTCTCGTCACCCCATCAGACTAGCATTTGGAAGTACTGAGCTGATCATCCTGCCCACTCCCTCCCCAGCCTCCTCAATTGGCGTATCCCCATTACCCTCAGGGTAAATTCAGTCCAATGTTCTCCCTGTGGCTCACAAGACCACACCTCATCTGACCCTGCTGGTGTCTTCAGCCCCACCAGGCAGGCCATCCTCATCCCAGAAGCACTTCCACGACTGGAGCTCTCCCTGTCTCCTCCCGCCTTGGGGCCTTGGTCTTTACACCAAAGAGAATATGGCCATCTGCAGGAACTTCCCAGAATTCTCTTCAGCCCCAAGACTCAGGAGCACTTACAGGCCACGGTGGGTTATTAATTATTTGTGAGACGCTGTATGTCCTGTCTGCCCTCCCTGCCTAAGAACAGGCTGCGTCATTTTATTCATTAGGCTCTACAGGCAAAATGCTGGGGACCCCCGGGCGTTCTGATGCCCTAGGCCAGTGGTTCTCAACCTTCCTAATGCCGCGACCCTTTAATACAGTTCCTCATGTTGTGGTGACCTCCAATTTCATTGTTACAAATTGAACATAATTAAAGCATAGTGATTAATCACAAAAACAATATGTAATTATATATGTGTTTTCCGATGGTCTTAGGCAACCCCTGTGAAAGGGTCGTTCGACCCCCAAAGGGGTCACGACCCACAGGTTGAGAACCGCTGCCCTAGGCCAAAGTCTGCAGCCGGATGAGCTGAAAACGTTACCGGTTCCAAAATACCACAAAGAAAACAGCAGAACTAAAAATGAACACATGTTGATAGACAAAACCAGCCAACTGGTCAACTCAATTCCACTCAGCTTCTCTGGAGCTAGACACAGATTATATTGATCAGGTAAGGGCCTCAGTCCAGGTTAGAGAGGACGGAAGGCGGGGTCTCCAAAAACAGAGTCCTTCAAAGACACAAGAGCAGAGGACAGAGACGTGGAGTCTGATTTGCAAGCAGGGCATTTGCTATGCCTAGTATAGCACCTGGCACCAAGTAGGTGCTTATAGCAGACACCCAGAAAGGAGACCTCGTCAGCCATTCCTATCCTCTCCCCTCTTTTGAGGGGGAGGGTCCATTCCTTGACCAAGCAACTCAAGGGAGGCTCACTGATCCCCCTCGGGGATATCCCATCACATTTAAACCAATGCCTTCCAGCCCCACTGTTCATCATTATTACCTGGTAAACATTTAAAAACTAGATAGATGCTAAGGCCCCAATCCTAGAGATTCAAGTTAAATTGGATCTGAAGTGCAATCGGGTATAGGTTTTAAAAAACTCTTCCACCTGGTGGGTAGCTGGAGCTGAGGACCACTGACTAAAATAATTGTGATAATTTCATTCCTTCTGCCAGCAATTGAGATAAGAGTGATCAGGTGCTGATCAGTGAAATATGAAATCGTTTTCAGAAATATGAAATCTGAAGAGGAAGACCTCTGGACGTGATGCCTGGACCTGGGGCAGCCATCCTGTGACCATGAGGTTAGCTGGCGTGCAAAGGGCCTGTGTCCCAGACCAAAGAGCATGGAAATGAAAACTGAGCTCTCAACGGCATCGTTGAGCTGCTGACTCAACCAAACCCCACCCCACCTGTGGGCTTCATTTTGGGTGAGACAATGACTTTCTTATTCTTGACACTAAGTCTCATTTATGCAAATGCACTTTTACCCAGATATATTATTCAATGCATGTTGAATGGGAAAACGAATGAGTGTGCAAGTAGGGAGCCCTGGAACCTGAACCTGATGTTATCGGTTATCAGCTGGTGTCGGGCCACACGGGGCCTGGACCACCAGGCGGAGGGTCTGGGGCGCTGTCCCTGGAGTGATGAGGAAAGAGGGAGCACTGTGAGCAGGGGAGAGACAGAATCCGTGCTGGTGTCCGGAAGAGCCCTCTGGAGCCAGGTGGGCAATGGCTGGAGGGGAGAAACTGGAGACCAGGCAGTTAGGCTGAGAAGAGGCCCATCGGAAAGAGGACAGGAGCTGAGCTGGGGCTGTGGGGATGCCGAGGCAGGGGTGGGGCAGAGAGAGTGGGTGGGAAGATGGGGCTGGGGACTGATGGCTGTGGGAGGGGATGGGGCAGCACCTGGGATCTAGCCCAGTGATCAGTTGGCGATGGGGTATTTAGAAGATGGGAAGCAGGGAGGAGGAGTGACTTTTGGGGAAGATGCTGAGCTCAGTGTGGGAGACAAGAAGAGTGTGAGGCCCCCGCCGGTGTGGCTCAGTGGTTGAGCATTGACCTATGAACCAGGAGGCCACCTTGGATTCCCGGTGAGGGCACATGCCTGGGATAGGGGCTCAATCCCCAGTAGAGGGCATGCAAGAGGCAGCCGATCAATGACTCTCATCATTGATGTTTCTATCTCTCTCTCTCCCTCTCCCTTCCTCTCTGAAATCAATTAAGATTAATTAATTAATTAAAAAAAAAGAGTGTAAGGGATCAGGGCAGGGCTTCTGAGATAATGGCCTCAGAGGAGTAGTTGGAGCCCCAGAGGCTCATGGGAAATGTAGTTCTGTGTCCAGCACATTGGCCAGGGAACTGCAGAGGCTTCTGGGAAATGTAGTGTGAGGTCCAAAGGGTACACTGGTCGACCCTAAGAGTCTGGGTGGCTCTCTCTTTGGAAGGCCAGTGACTCCCTGGAGGCCACACCGCAGGCCAAGTCTAGGACTCAATACATGACCAAAATTCCCCCGCTACCCCCCCCGCCCCCCCCCCACACACACACACAGACAGACAGACATAGCTTGGTATACCTGCTTCCCTGTGCATGCTGGGGGTGCCCAGGGTGGAGGAGCTCAGGGGCTCCACCTCCTGCTGCATCCTGGGAAGGCGGGTGGGGGGTGTCTCAGGAGGGTGGGAAGAAGAGCTCTGACGGGGCCACCCACCCCAGCTCCTTCTCGTCCTGGCTGCCGCCTCTTCCTTTTTGACCCCCCGGGGGGCACACAGAGAAGCACGGGCAGCCTGAGCCCACACGGGGATCCTGGTGCCCCGGACCTCGGGGAGCCCCTGCGGGCCCCAGGGCCTCCTCTCCCACTTTCCCGCTTCTTCCCCTACCTCTCCCTGCCTCCTGGAGTCTCTCCGCTCCCCCCTCTCCCTCCCGCTCCCTTCCTCACTCTCTACCCATCTCTCTGCTCCCCTCCCTCCCTCCCTCTCTCCCAGTTTTGTTTCCCTGACGTCTCCTAATCTCTCCCTCCGTCTCTCCTCTATGCTTTCCCTGGGTTTCTCTGCCCCCTTCCTCCCCATTTCTCTCCCCCTTCCTGGTTCCATCTCCCCAGTCTCTTCCTTTAACAATTTCCCCAACGTGTCCCCCGACCCCCGTCCCCGCCTCTATTCATAGTCGCCTCCTTTTCTCTGACCCCCTCTCCCGCTCCCTGTCGCCTGGCCTCTCTCCCCATCTCTCCCCCGTCTCCCTTTTCCATCTCTCCCCACCTCTCCCCTCTCAGGGCTGCCTCTGCCCCACCTCTCGGCTCCTCTCCCCTCTGTCATCCCCCTTCTGTTCCCACTTGCCCTCCGTTCATCCCTGTCTCAAGCAGGAACTGGTTAGACACGGTCAAGATTCAAACGGAAACTGGGTTCTAGATGGGGGAGGGAAAGGTGAGCAGGGGGCTTGGTTGCCATGGTACCTACAGAAGGCGGGGGGAGGGGCTGGGGACTCGGACTTTTGGGTCTGCGGGAGGAAGGGGCGGGGCCTGGACTCCTGGGTCTGAGGGAGGAGGGGCTGGGGGCCTGGACTCCTGGGTCTGAGGGAGGAGGGTCTGAAGGCTCCTGGGCCCCAAGTGAAGCAGGGAAAGGGTCTAACCCCATAGGTGCCCATTAGGCACCCCTGTCTTTGCATCTGCCAACAGTCAGATTCCTGATGATGACTGGGGTACCTGGATCCAGCCATGCCTGAAACCCTCTCCCACACAATCAATTCCCCCTTATGCTCAGGTCATTTGTGTTTCTGTCGTTGGCAATGAAAACAGTCCAGACTTCATTAGACTCATTTCCAGACTCAGTTCCTCTGTGGCCCTGACTCCCTTCCACCTCCTCATGTTTGGGTCTCCCATCAGGCTGGCCTCCATTTCTGCCCCAAGCCCATCCTTTAGGACAGGGAGCATCTTTCATCCCAGGCACACCTGGCGCAGAGCCCACCAGTCCCCAGGCACCACCCCTTCTGCCCCCTGACCCTGCATCCTCTCCTCCTCATTCCTGGGGCCAGGACACCCCCTCAGCTCCGTCCTCTCTGCCTGCACCCTCTCCCCAGCCTCCTCCTGTGCTCCCGTCCCCACTCCTTTCCCCACAGGGCTCCAGCGCAGTGGTTCTCAACCTCCTGGCCCTTTAAATACAGTTCCTCATGCTGTGACCCAACCATAACATTACTTTCGTTGCTACTTCATCACTGCAATGTTGCTACTGTTATGAATCGTCATGTAAATATCTGATATGCAGGATGGTCTTAGGCGACCCCTGTGAAAGGGTCGTTCGACCGCCAAAGGGGTCGCGACCCACAGGTTGAGAACCGTTGTTCCACCGGGTTCTTTCTGCGCCCAGAGCTGACCTGTCCCTCCCTGCGAGCAGCCGCCCCGTGGCTCCCCAGCATCCCTGGACCACATTCCCATCCCTCACCCAGGCATCTGAGATTTGCATGATCTGGTCCCACGCTCCTCTCCCCTCTCACCCCTTCAAACATTGTCCAGTCACCTTTGATTAATTCTCTTATTTAGCGAATCCCTCCCGGGCCATTCCTGCCTCCGCACCCCACATGCTGTGCCTGCTGGAATGCCCCTCTCCACCCTCCTTTTCCCGGAGCCGAAAATGCTCTCGTCCTTTCATAGAAGCTCAAAGCTCCCTCCCGCAGGGAGCCGCCTCTGACTCCGCCTCCTCCCAGGCGTGTTTGCTGAATTCTCAGCTGCGCGCGCCTCCTCTGCTCCTTTCCCGGTCTCTGAACGCTGTCCTCTCCCTCTGTCATTTCAGGGATTTGACCCTGTGTCTGTCTCCCCCGCCGGGCCAACAGCTCCTAACTCCCCTCCGGCCCTCCTCCGGCATCACCCCCTCTGGGAAGCGCAGAATGCGTGTGCTGAGTGAATACACGGGTGACTACGTCCCTCTGTCGCCGTGACCCACACTCAGAGCCCCAGCCCCATCTTCCCGTCCCCTTTGGTCCTCCTGAGGCGACACAGGGGCAAGGCGAGAACCTGGACTCTGGAGTCAAACAGGCCGGCACTGAGAGCCGGGTCCAGGCTGTGCAACCTCGGGCAAATGTCTTCCTCTCTCTGCGCCTAGTCTTCCGACGCGCTCTCTCTCTTTCCTCCATGGAAGGGTCCTTCCTCTCTCTCTCTCTTTCTCTCCTTCTAAAGCAGTGGTTCTCAACCTTCTGGTCCTTTAAATACAGTTCCTCATGTTGTGACCCAACCATAAAATTATTTTCGTTGCTACTTCATCACCGTAATGTTGCTACTGTTATGAATCGTAATGTAAATATCTGATATGCAGGATGGTCTTAGGCGGCCCCTGTGAAAGGGTCCTTCGACCGCCAAAGGGGTCGCGACCCACAGGTTGAGAACCGCTGTAAAGTCTGCATCTTTGTTTCCCTCTGTGTGTCTCCATTTCTCTGTCTTTATTTTTCTTCCTCTCTCTCTACCTGTCTGTCCTTGGAACCCTGCCTTATCTCGCTCTGTGTCTGAATTTGAATTTCTGTTTCATGTATCTCTAGTTTATATCTTTCTGTGTCTGTCTCCATACCTTTCCGCATGTCTGTTTGTCTGTCTCTCTGTGTGTGTTTGTCTCCGTTGCTCTATTTCTCCGTCTCTGTTTCTCCATGTCTGTTGCTCTGCCTTAGCCCCACCTGCCTCCCTCTGTCATGCACCCGCCCTCTCCCAGGCCGGATCTGTCCCACTCCCCGGCCTGGCACACAGCCTGGGACACGAATCCCTGAATCAGCATTTCCTCCTCTTCCGGAAATTATCTCAGCACCGCAGGGGGGGAGGGGCTGACTGCAGCCTGGTCAGAGGGTTTGCCTCCCGCGTCCCCTCCACAGCTTGGCCTGCCTCTCCCCCCAGTGCTTGTTCTCTCCACGGGGCACCCGGAGAAGAGGTGCATCTGTGTTTACACACGAGGACGCGTCTCTGGGTGTGAGACTGCATTTTATTTCCAGTCACATTTGTGTGTGAATCTGTAGGTATTTGTGCAAGCTCATTCATTCACTCATGCATTAATGCATCCATCCATTTATCCTTACATCATACTTCTATCCATCCACCCACCCATCCACCCACCCTTCTATCCATCCATCATCCACTCATCCATTCATCATCCACTCATCCATCCATTTATCCTTACATCATCCTTCTATCCATCCACCCACCCATCCACCCACCCTTCTATCCATCCATCATCCACTCATCCATTCATCATCCACTCATCCATCCATTTATCCTTACATCATCCTTCTATCCATCCACCCACCCATCCACCCACCCTTCTATCCTTCCATCATCCACCCATCTATTCATCATCCACTCATCCATCCATCTGTCCATCCATCTACCCATCTATCCATCCATCCTTCTATCTATCCATCATCCACTCATCCATCCACCGATCCCTCTGTTTATCTATCTACTTGTTCATTCATTTATTCATTCAACTAACCAATATGTTTTGAGTGCCTACTGTGTGCCAGGCGCTGTGTCAGGCAGTGGGGACGCAGCAGTAAACAGATCAAAGTGCTGCCCCCATGAAGCTTATGTGCTCAGCAGTCCCTTCACTGAGCCAAACTCCCTCCTGTCCCAGGCCTTGCACAGGCTGTTCCTTCTCCCGGTAGCTGTTTCTACCCGCCCCACCCATCTTCACCTGACTCCTGCCTACTCACCCTTCTGAGCTCAGTGCAAATGTCAGCACACTCACAGCACCCTGGGCTTTCCATCCTGCTCCCTGTCCCAAAGCTGGGGTTGTTGTCTTCTTTGTTCCCAGCTGCGTCCCTGGTGCCTAGAACAGTGCTTGGCACACAGTAGGTGCTCAGTGAGTGCCTATCAAATGGCTGCATGGATGGAATTGAGTGGATGCAAATCCCTGGTCAGTGCTCTACGCTATTCCACACTCCTGGTGGCGACAGGCAAGGCCCTCAAACTTCTTGGATGCAAGCAAGGTAGTGACTGAAAAGTGGGCTCTAGGTTCGGAGCTGCGTGGCTTTGGATCTCAACTCTGACCCTTCCCAGCTGTGTGACCTTGGGCAGGGCGCTTCCACTCTCTGAGCCTCAATTTCCTCACTTGTAAAATGCAGTCACAGAGTATATCCACAGCCCTGGCCGGGGTTGCTCAGTGGGTTGGGCATCATTCCCATCAACCAAAGGTTGCTGGTTTAATTCCCTGTCGGGGCATGTGCCAGGGTTGTGGGCTGGATCCCCGGTAGGGTGTGTGCAGGAGGCATCCGATTGAAGTTTCTCTCTTCCTCTCTCTAAAAATCAGTAAATATATATTTTAAAGAGAATACATAAGCAAATGCATGTAATTACTAATTATTACAATAACTAGAGGCCCAGTGCACAAAATTCGTGCACAGGTAAGGTCCTTAGGCCTGGCTGGCAATAAGGGCCAATCAGGTTCCCCGCCTCCCTGCCTCCCCACCTCCTCCTTCCCTGCTCCCTCAGCACCATGTTCTGTGCCACCCCCTGGTGGTCAGCACACATCATAGTGAGCAATCAAACTCCCGGTCTCCCCGATCGAATTCCCAAGGGGACACTTTGCATCTTAGCCTTTTATATATAGATACTAACCATTTTTCACCTTGCATAAATTTAATGTAATCCTCAAAATAACTTCATGACATAGAATCTGGGTTTTTAAATTTTTCCTCATTCGCCCTGGACAGTTGCTCAGTCGGTTGAGTGTCATCGTGTGCACCAAAAGGTCGCCAATTAGATTCCTGGTCAGGGCACATGCCCGGGTTGTGGGTTCGATCCCCAGCTGGGGTGGGTATGGGAAGCAACTGGCCAATGTTTCTCTCTCACATTGATTGTTTGCTACCTCCCTCTCCCTTCCTCCCTCTAAAAATTCAATTAAAAAAAGAAAAAAGAAGAATGTTTTCTCACATACAAAAGGGGAAACGGAGGCCTTGAGAATAAAATTCATTCAAGGTTACACAGAGCAGAGGTGGGATTTGAACTCTGGTGCTTGGCACCCAAAGCCACACACACTGACCAGAGCCCTACAGCCACCTCCCAATGCCTGGGCCGCCTCAGAACCTGAGTGTCTGGAACGCGCCCTGGGAAGCTGGCAAGCCCATCTGTGCACACATCTCTGAGCACATGTGCATGGCACACTTCCTTCCGCGAGTCTCTTCCTGTGGAACGGGGCTGCCTGTGCGCCCTGTGTGCTGGGTGCGAGGGTCAGGCTGGGCGAGTGGGCTCTGGGGAGCCTAGACCTGCGTGCACACATTGGTGACTGTGTAGCTTTGGACCTTCTCCAAGGGGTTTAACCTCCAGGAGCCTCAGTTGTCTCCTCTGTGAAATGGGAATAACAGGACTGCACAGTTGTCCTGGCCACCGCGGCTCAGCTGGTTGAGCGTCCTCCCGTGCACCCAGAGGTTGACGGTTCAATTCCCGGTCAGGGCACCTGCCCGGTGGGGGCTGTGCAGGAGGCAGCCGATCCATGTTTCTCTCTCTCCCTCAAATCAGTAAGAACATTTAAAAAAAAAACAAAAACTGCACATTAAGCCCTAACTGGTTTGGCTCAGTGGATAGAGCGTTGACCTGCGGACTGAAGGGTCCCAGGTTCGATTCCGGTCAAGGGCATGTACCTTGGTTGCGGGCACATCTCCAGTAGGGGGTGTGCAGGAGGCAGCAGATCAATGTTTCTCTCTCATCGATGTTTCTAACTCTCTCTCCCTCTCCCTTCCTCTCTGTAAAAAATCAATAAAAATATATTTAAACAAAAACACAAACCTGCACATTAAATGAGAAAACATTTTCATAGCATTTAGCCCAGGGCCCAGATCAGAGTCCGTGGGGATTATTACCATTAACTGCTATTAATACATCAGTGACTATTTCCTGCTTATTTTAAGAAATAGTCATTCCCCTGGCTGGTGTGTTCAATGGTTAGAGCGTCAGCCTGCACACAGAAAGGTCATAGGTTCGATTCCGGTCAAGGGCTCCTACCTAGGTTGCAGGTTCGATTCCCCAACCCAGTCGGGGCATGTTTTTGGGAGGCAACCAATCGATGTGTCTCTCTCACATCAATGTTGTTTTTTTCCTCTCTTCTCCCCCTCCCCCATTCCCTTCCTCCCTTCCACTCTCTCTGAAAATCAATAGAAAAAAATATCCTCGGGTGAGGATTAAAAAAGAAATAAATATTCATTAAGCATCTACTGGGTGCCCATGCTTTACCAATACTGACTTCCCCCCCAAAACCTCTGGATCCCTTTGGAAACAGGTTTATTGTCCGTATTTTCTTTTCTTTTTTAATTTTAAATATATTTTTATTGATTTCAGAGAGGAAGGGAGAGGGAGAGATAGACACATCAATGATGAGAGAGAATCTTGATCCGCTGCCTCCTGCACGCCCCCCACCGGGGATCGAGCTGCAACCTGGGCACGTGCCCTGACCGGGCATTGAACCAGGACCTCCTGGTTCATGGGTCGACGCTCAACCACTGAGCCACACCGGCCAGGCTATCGTCCGTATT